CATAATAAAGTCTTTCACTTTTACCTCACTGAACTCATCCACACTTTATCAGCCGGTTAAACACAGCTGGGTCTGGCCTGTAACTGTCCGGGTGACCGCAGAGATAGCCTCGTTCTGAACTCGAGGAAACTTCGCAAAGCCAAAATGGTTAACGACACCAAAGATTACTATTTTGACGCTACTGTTAATCTTTTTGAATCGGAATTATTATCATACTCATTCCAATCTATTGTATAATAAATAATAACAAAGACTTGTTCATCTTACAAAACCAATAATAAGAAAATATGAGGTGGATGTCGTAGGCCCTTCTGTATGAGGCTACTCACTCCGGCCGCAGGTCGAGGAGGTGGACCTCGCGACGACACGACGCGCCGCCCCTCACCGGGTTCGTCAGCTCGAAGGTCAGTCCTGCAGGAGTGTGAGATCGATGAGAGATGTCTGAGGTTAGGAGGTGAGAGATGGTTGGTGTTAGGGAGAGAGAATGGGGGATGGCCTTGTGTATACCTTCTCAATGTCTTTTCTCCGGTGAATATTAATTTAAATTAATAACTCATTTGGCAAGTTCTGAATCCACTCAGAATCACTAGTTCCATTGCGTATGTGGTGTAATAATTCTGTGTATAGTGTTTTTGACTTGAAATACTAAACCTTGAATGCTAGGTAAATTTAGTTTATTTCGCATATTAGGAAATGTGAAAGTTATTGGACTGATAAGTAGCATTATAAGGGCCTTATTTTGACTTTTTTTTTTATCTTGAACTACCTCTGCTCTGATATTGTTCTAAGGCTGGTGCATGTTTCTTGATCTGTTAAAGTTCTTATGTTAGCCAAGTGCTTAATTTTAGCTAATCTAATTTTTAGCTATTTTGAGGGTTGTGCTTTCACTACAATCCAGCGTCTTCGGTCTATCTTTACATTGTTGATACTGCTCGTGAACCTGTGGTAAAATACAAGGTACTGAGATGCCAGGGTTTTGTATGATATTAATATTGTAATTCGTTTTGTCGGGGACAAGAAGCCTATGTATATATATATATACTTTAGGTTTGTTAGGTAACAACAGTTGCCTAACTGCTAGGTGAAGATAGGCATTAGGTGAAATTCAACGTGCCCAACCATTTCTATCCCACCCGGGAATCGAATCCGGGATCTCTGATTGTACGTCTAGAACGAAGCCAACTGTACTACCGAAATCCTTTTTGTTTTTGTTGCCCTGTTTTGGAATATATGTATATGGAATATATGAATATATGTATATGAATATGTATATGGAATATATGCGAGTGTGAAGCTCCTGGTGATGCTAGTCTAACCACTTGGGCTGGACGGTAGAGCGACGGTCTCACTTCATGCACGTCAGCGTTCAATCCACGACCGTCCAAGTGGTTGGGCACCATTCCTTCTCCTGGTCTCATCCCAAATCCTTATCCTGACCCCTTCCAAGTGCTTTTTAGTCGTAATGGCTTGGCGCTTTCCCCTGATAATTCATTCATTCCTGGTGGTACTTTGGTGTGTACGAACAGCCCTTCCGCCTGCAATGATAGTACTTATAATAACGATGAGGACCATAGTATATACACACCGACGTACAACGAAATTAGTAAATAGAAATCTGAACTATTGAGTTGGACAAGCCGGAAAACTGTTTTTTTTTACTTGTGTTGTTTTGACAAACTAAACTAACTTTACCTAACCTTCCTATGTCTAATACACGATATCTGAGGCCTAATATAGTACATATGTGTGCTATACTTAGCGTGGGACACTAAACCTTGAAATCATCTCAAGATAGGAATATTTTTGTTTTTTTTAGCTTCATTTATTTTAAAATAATGCCTTACTAGTCAGTATACTACTATCTAAAAGCTAAGAACGTACGAATTCTGACTATTGACGATCATCACAACAGGTACTATCGAAACAGGAGGATGGGTGTGTACGAGAGACCCCGTTGATGTACGAGGCTATCACCCGCAGGAGGCTAAGAGCAGTACTCGTACTGCTTTTACGAGTACTGCTTTTGGGACTGATCTTAGTAAGGCATTTATTAGTACATTGAACATTGTGAGAGTTAAGACTCTATTAACTGGCGAGAGTGTCTAGTTGCACTAATTTGGCTTCATTTGTGTGGCTCTGAAACGATGCAGAAGACTTTCAGTCAATGAGAAAAAATTTATCCATTGTAGAAATTGATTACATATGTCCGTATGAACTTATTCAAACAATATAACTTCCCAGTTAGCAATATCGAAGGTAGGGTTCAAATCAAGAAATTATGTAACTGTGTCATATTTATTACTATGGGACGTGAGGAAGGTTACAAATATAATTAAATTTAATTATAATTTAATGTTAAACTTGGCTTAGTGCGTGAACCGAAAATTTACCTTGCGCCGAAAAAGAAAAAAACGAATCGGAAAGGTCAGGGCTCTGAGCCCAATAGAGCCACAGTTCCAATCTGTCCACTACGGGCTCACCATAGTCCATGCTACTTGGAACGTTTGTTCCGTGTAAGTGAATCTAAAACAACAACAACAATATTCTAATCTGCAGAGGGGTGAAACACTCTTAGTCTGTCTCTTATCCTCTGGCTTTTACTACAGATTTTTTTATGATTAAAGTAATATGCCTACATTCTCCGGAAGCAATAAAACTCACACAGCCTTTCGGTCAATAATAAATATTATAATAATAATAATGTTAATTTAGGGAAAAGTATTTGCATACAAAATGAGATTCAAGAAGAATGTTGAATTTCTAGGTAGGGCAAGTATTCACTATGCCTAAAGCCACTAATTTCGGGCATTTCGGGGTAAAAGCCTCATAGGCTTTCCATACCAATTCGCTGCGAAGATAGTCTGAAACAGTTTTATGGCACGTTGCCGACGTGTCCCAAATGCTAATTATCATTTGTAGTAAAGTCTAAAAATATGTTGACGCTCAAAATTTGACATATATTCTTAGAATATATGTAAATGAATATGTTAGATATTAAGTCACTGCACATACTCTCATGTATATTTTATATATATAAAACGCTGAATTGTAATGTCAATGCTGACCTCAAAAGCTTCCTAGAAGGTTGTAACAGAACCCATGAGCACCACACCAGAAACAAATACCTATTTGATATTCCAAGAGTACGACTTAATCAAACTTGAAATGCTCTACAAATCAAGGGACCCAGAATGTGGAATGATCTTCCCAATCATGTCAAAGACTGTACCTCTCGCAACCAGTTTAAGATAAAAACTAAGTACTACCTAATTAACTCCTTGTAACCTACCTTACCCCTAAATGTCAACCCATGTCTACTATTTTAAACAATGCTGTTTGTTGACCAAATTGTATATTTGCTTTTTTTCTGCCATGTCCCCCTCCATTTTTTATTTTCTCAACACAATTTATACTTTAATCTCAATTAGTATTAAGTTTTAGTCTTAGTGTTTTCCTGCCCGAAACGCTTTGCGTAATAGTGGCTTTAGGCATTGTATGTACTAGCTCTATCTATAAATCCATCAATGTTTGTATCTCACCTTGTATGTATGTACTTTACCTGAATAAACATTTGATTTGATTTGAATAAAGAATTTATCTGTAAATATATCTTCAGATTCCTAATTGAATTATATGCAGCATCGATATATTATAGCATTTTATTCCACCGATCCAAATTCTAGCTACTCTCGCATGAGTAAAACTATGCACGTGAACACACTCACCAGGAGGGAAGTAACGTAGGTATATACGTTTAAGATTCATGATGTCTAAAGAATTGGACACTGTCTGTGATGTGTTTACGGTCACCATGGCAACTCTACCAGTGAATGCGTTTTCTATGGTATTTACAGAAAACTTTATATTTCTTTTAACATACACAGTTATAAATGATTGAAAACCAGTTTAGAAACTGGTTTAATCAGTCGATTATTATTTCTAGTATTCGTATGATAGATAGGAAGTCTAGGTTTGTCCTCTTATTTTGTCTGAAGATATTTTTGTATATTTTGAAAGTTTTTTTTTTAATTCTTGTACAGCCAGTAGCACTCATAGCGTTTCAGGCAAGTCCTTAATCCTAATTTTCTCCAGAAAACGACCCGCCAAATCGTTCTAACAACCAGGTACCCATTCACTGCTGGGTGAACAGAGGCGTACAGTTAAGGATTGGCGCCCAGTCAATCCTGCCCGGCCAGGATACGAATCCAGGCGTGAACCCAGATCCCGGGTTAGATTCTCGGGTGGGACTGGCGAAATTTCCTTTCACGTAATTTTAGCCTAGTATGTTGACCAGAGCACACACTAGAAGGTGAAGGGACGACGACGTTTCGGTCCGTCCTGGACCGTTCTCAAGTTGATTGTGAGAATGGTCCAGGACGGACCGAAACGTCGTCGTCCCTTCACCTTCTAGTGTGTGGTCTGGTCAACATACTTCAGCCACGTTGTTGTGACTCATCGTCCGCGTTAGCTTAGTAGTAATTAGGCACCCAGGAGTTGTGCAACTGTTGTGTGGTGGCATTCTGAAGAAGATCAGTAATTCGACCTTGGTAGGGGGGGGAGCTCGATATAAGACTAAAGTGTGTGTGCAACGACAAAACCCGAGCACAACTAGCCTCAACGCTAAACAAATAATAACGATTACATTATAATAATTACATGAAATCAATATATGAATCAAAGATGGGGCCACGCAGGGTTCATATTCCACACCAATGCAATCGGGTGTCAAGGTACCGTTACCATTACAAAACTTATGCATGAAGTTGGGTGAGGAACTTCGTGTTGTCAGTCCTGCTGCGTGGTTTGGTAAGTTACACGTGTATCTATGTATGTACAGTATATGTCTTTGTGTGTGTGTATGTGTGTGCTTGACATCAGATATTTTGCAGAAGTGTTCGGAGTTTATGTTATCGTGCTTATTGAATATCCTCAATGTCCTCGTGTGAGCAATCCTGCCTTGAGGCACCGTCCTTGAGGATTCGGTCGCGCAGCCTAGCGTCCTCCAATCTTGGTGCGCGACTTAATTTCCATAATGTTTTGCTTACCATGTGTTGAACTTTCACTGGTGCGGTAAATACAACTTTCAGGTGTGTGGTCGGCCGCACTTGATAATAATGCAGTGATTCATAATAATAATAATAGTGACTTGAATGCAGCACCATCAAGGTGGGCCTCTCGAAGGATATATAAAACTAAATTTTTGTAATTTTAATTTCTGTTCGGGGGGGGGGGGGGGGGGGGGAGGTTTATATCGAGGTCCCCCTAAGGTCGAATTACTGGTAGGCTTATCCAGATCTCCCTTGGCCTACTATTGATGTACCCCATAATAGTTGCCAAGCTGTCGGGTTCCTATTTTACTGTACTGTTAGGTGAGCAGAAGCATCAGTTAAACGAAACGAAACGTGTGCTAGGAGCACACTGCAACTGGTGTGTACAGGACACCTTATCCACTTATGCCCCAAAGAATGAGGTGATTTGATAAAATACTATACCCAAGATTACCATCAGAGTGCCGGCGGGCTGATGGGCAAATAGCCTCGGCTACCATCAGCTTTTGTCCGGTCGTGATGGTCGAGTGGATAAGGTGTCCTGTACACACCAGTTGCAGTGTGCTCCTGGCAGTATGGGTTCGAGTCACTTCTGGGGTGTGAGTTTTCAGTTTATATATATATATATATATATATATATATATATATATATATATATATATATATATATATGTCGTACCTAATAGCCAGAACGCACTTCTCAGCCTACTATTCAAGGCCCGATTTGCCTAATAAGCCAAGTTTTCATGAATTAATGTTTTTTCGTCTACCTAACCTACCTAACCTAACCTAACCTAGCTTTTTTTGGCTACCTAACCTAACCTTACCTATAAATATAGGTTAGGTTAGGTTAGGTATGGTTGGTTAGGTTCGGTCATATATCTACGTTAATTTTAACTCCAATAAAAAAAAATTGACCTCATACATAGAGAAAAGGGTTGCTTTATCATTTCATAAGAAAAAAATTATAGTAAATATATTAATTCAGGAAAACTTGGCTTATTAGGCAAATCGGGCCTTGAATAGTAGGCTGAAAAGTGAGTTCTGGCTACTAGGTACGACATATATATATATATATATATACACATATATATAATTTGATCATTATTCGCATGAATACCATCTCATTCAAGCATTATTTTATTATATTTATTAAATAGTTTAATCATGTATTCTAGTGTACATGACGGGGCACAGAGTACAGTATAGGTCAAGAACTACGCTCAACTTAAATATTCATCTCTTAGAATGGTTGATCATACAAGGGATGTGAGTTGAGTTCCTTATACTGCACTAGCTAACGTTGGGAAACTGAAAAGGGTATATATAATATAATTGAATTAAAACAATTGCAAAGCGCCAGGTATCTCGTGGTATTTGGTGTAAAATCACCAGTAACTGAGCATTCACTAATATAGTGCTGGAGTGTGTGTGTACATGTTTAAGGATTGGAGTGCGCCGTGTTGGATAATTGGTTACTTGCGGTTATCAGTCATAAATAACATCATCCCAGTCTAATCCTGCCAGTTACAAAGTTACACTGTCTGTTGGAATCATAATGATGACAGACAAAGCTAAATCAGCATAGACCTGGGTATTCCGCATTCTTTGTTCTCAAAATAATATTCTTCCAGATAATTACATCTTATAGGAGACAAATTACAGACACTCAAAGGTCTGAAAACAACAGCATTAAAACTTTTTATTGTTTTATTTTCAATATTAATGTATATAGGCAGCACAAAATGTGTTGAAGCTGGACAATGTGATGCAACAGAGTGCTAGTCAGACTAGGCTACCGTTTCATGTAGCAAATAGGCTGCAAGTAGCGAATCTTCGTATCTCGGTGTATTCTGTGTGTGTGTATGAGAACTGGGTCATACTCTTTGACATTATGTTATTGAATGTCCAGTCATTATGGCCACTGTCACTGTGGCCACAAGTTACTGTCATTGTGGCCATAGTATCTCGTGGCCACATACTAGCAATTTAGGCTTGCCGGTATGAGGCAGCGTATCTAGATTTGCACAATTTTGCTTTATCCACTGTCGTGCTCTTGGAGATATCCTCCAAATCTAATCAAAGTTCCTTAGTAGTGACAAATAAATTTCATGTCACTCTAACAAACCACTATCAATGGATAATATACAAAACTACCAGAAAGGGATCTTAGTATTATTATGAGCCTACATGCAATCTACTTGAAACGTTATTCTTTCTCCGTTTCTGTCATTTTGTTTTTATATTTTGTAATTCGTCGATGATTCCATAGACTTAGATATTATGTGGCTCTACTTAATGCTATATAGAAGTCTACGTATAACGTCAACTTCAGGGCTTTGATCTATGCAGTGGATTATCGTTTCAAGGACGATGAGCAAGTTAAGGGAATGTTTGTTTACCATAAATAGATCCAAGTTGTGATGCTTTGATGAGATTGTCCACTGAGAAGGCTGAGGTCTGCATTCCTCAGAAGCCCCTCCAGAAGCTTGGAGAGAAGGGAGGAAGTTTTCTGTTGCAATTAATTACGAGTTTCTAGTCTAATAACGTTAGCTGTTATGTTGCGAGGCTACCTGATCTAGATTTATTTTAATAAATAGTCTTAGCTACTAGCTTCTTATGTTTGTATATTTTATGAGTTCGTTTCTATTTGCCTAAAAAACGGTTTCAATATCAACAAGCCACAATGTAGGACAAAAATCAGGAGATACTTTTTTCACGTATATGGTTATAAACCCATGGAACCGCCTACCCGCTGATTCTGTAAATGCCAAAACACTGGTGCAATTGATGATCACTCTCGATAAAATCATCATGGAGACCATTGACAAGCTGGTTTCATTTCATCATCGAGGCCACTAGAGACATAGTGGCCCTCATGCAAATTTAGGTAAATGCAGGATACATTCGCTGCTGTAGTTAAGTATTATAATATTGTAGTTTTTTTTATAATGTTATTCATTTTTTTATCTATGTGTTACCAAAATTACGACTTTGAGTGTTCTAAGATCTGATGTAGCAGGCCAAAAGACTATTTGTACCTGATAGGCTGAGATGGTCACAAGATTATTTCTTAATGGATAAAATATCAGGTATAATTCACATGATCGGCTTCCATTGGCCCAGATATCGGAGATATGTAGCCGGATCCAATTAGGAGAGAGTAGAATTTTCTCCTAGCGAGGCCAGGATTAGCTGTCATGCACAGAGACATTCGAGTTCTGACGGTCACAGGAGCTGGGTATGGTAGAAATCACTGCAATAAAAAAAAATTATGTGTCGGGTATATGTTCGTCGGTGACTATCGTGGATTGACTCTAGATAGACAGTTGAGTAATTTAAAGATTTCTGAAGCTAGGCTTCCATTGCTGCCTGACACAAGAGGAAAGACAGAATCGTTAGGATATTGTACTGCAGCAATTTTTATTTTATCTTTATTTAATAAAATACAATATAAATCATACATAAATTTACAAGGCAATACTACATTACATATACAGTAGTATAATTCTCAGTAAACAAGTGTTTTATATTATCACAGAGCATGATAAATCTAAAATATTGAATGTCTGAGGCTTTGCAGACCTGCCGGCATGAGGCTGCTGGAGCGTTGCAATTACTTTATTACCTCTCGTGTTCTTGAGGATATCCTCACGGTCCTTCCAAAATTTGCCAGTGCAGGCTATACCGATCACTGTATGACCAGAGCATGTGTATTGATCAGCGTGAATACATATCCTCGATATGTATGTTCTCTCGACAGAGAACAGTGTCTACAGTGGAAATAACCCAAGGTATAATATATACACCAGGGATAAAAGCCACGTGAACTAAATCAGTTCAGTCGAGGACATGGAAATTAATGAAGTAATCACAGCTTGTTAAGAAGTACAGTAGTCTTCCCCCGTGTAGTTGAGGAGATGTCATGAGGTGGGCCTGTAGGTGTTGTTTAGGTGCCAATGACCACTAGGTCATTACTGCCAGTGGTTCCGTGCTGGTAAGGTTGGTGCTTCAGGCAGACACCAGCATGTATTACCTACCACTATCAGAGTGCATCTGGCGTCTTCTGAGTGCATAATGATCTGGCATTACCAGAGTGCACAACACCACCACCAGAGTGCCACGACAATCACCGGCCAGCTACGGCATTACGTTGCCAATGGCTGGTATAAGGTTAGATTTCAGGCCTTCCTCGAGTGCACAAACTACTTGTTAACGCACAACAAGCCTCCGTTGACAGCGCTTACGAACAAATTACGACAACGCTCCTAACCACCATCCCCTCGCCACCCTCAAACAAACATTAAGCAGTTGAAGCAACTAGTTACGATAGTGTTAACGGCCTTAATAACGAGTCTGTTCTAATAACGAACAGGTTACGTGCAATGCTAAGTGTCTGTCGTTATCGACCCCAGACGCCACACCTGTGAGGAAGGGGAATGAGGACGCAGGTGTGTGTGTGTATGTGTGTGTGTGTGTGTGTGTGTGTGTGTGTGTGTGTGTGTGTGTGTGTGTGTGTGTGTGTGTGTGTGTGTGTGTGTGTGTGTGTGTGTGTGTGTGTGTGTGTGTGTGTGTGTGTGTGTGTGTACTCACCTAGTTGTGCTTGCGCGGGTTGAGCGTCGGCTCTTTGGTCCCCCCTCTGAAATATCAATTAACTAATGTTCAGGTTCTTGAGCCTACTGGGGCTCTATCATATCTACCTCTAACTGTGTATGGAGTGCAAGGAGGCCTGGTCGGGGACCGGGCCGCGGGGACGTTGAACCCCGAAATCATCACAAGGTAAGGTAACCACCACATCACTGCCTAGTACAGTCCATTTGTTAACTACTCTGACACGGAAACAATTCTTTCCAATGTCTTCGTGGCTCTTTTGGGTACTAAGTTTCCACATATGTCCTCTTGTTCGCGTTCCTTTGATAATCGGTCTCTACTCTATCAATTCCTCTTGGGAATTTTGTAGGTGGGACACATTTCTCTCCTAGTTCTTCTGTCGCCTAGTGACCACAGGCTGAATTCCAGTAGCCATTCCTCGTAACTCATACCTCGTAGTTCTGGGACTAGTCTGGTGGCATACTACTGACTTTCGCTAATTTCGTCTTGTGCTTGATCAGCTATGGACTCCACGCTGGAGCCGCATACTCCAGGATTGGTCTGACATACGTGGTATACGAGGTTCTGACTGATTTATTGTAACTCTTACCGCAACCCGTTCTCGCACTTTCTTACAGTCAATATTGACTTATTAAATACGTGCATATGTGACATACTAAACATACTAGTTTACCTTGAAAAGCTTCATAGAAAACACCGACCTTACGTAACCTTCTTAGTATGTTAAGATAAGCATCTTATTGCTTCGTAGTTACAATTATTACTTAACCTATTATGGGTATAGGTTAAGTAATAATTGTAATTACGAAGCAATAAGATGCTTATCTTAACATACTAAGAAGGTTAGGTAAGGTCGGTGTTTTCTATGAAGCTTTTCAAGGTAAACTAGTATGTCACATATGCACGTATTTAATAAGTCAATATTGACTGTAAGAAAGTGCGAGAACGGGTTGCTTACCGTCAGTAACTGTAACCTAACCTAACCTAACCTAACCTTACCTTACCGTCAGTAACTGTACTCATTTCCATGTTTTAATTGCACAAAAAACAAGAGCAAAAAAACTCACGCAACAAAAAATAGTTGCGACTATTTTTTTTTATTTGTGGTTTGTCGTTCTATTTCAAAATAAATATTATATATATTTTAGGCTCGTAACGAGGTCCTTCAAATGTCTTACTACTGACCTCCCAACACTATGCATCAACGCAACAGTTACTTAACTCTCGGGTGCCTATTGTCAGGTGAACAGGAGCATTAGTTGCAAACTAAAAAACAAAGTGCCCAACCTCTTGTGTCGTAACCACATGTTGGGTAATACACTAGGGCGGGGGGGGGCGGGGGGAGGGGGCTGAACACGTAAAATTTTTTGGAGTACTCCCCTGCACCTAGTGTGTGTGTGTGTGTGTGTGTGTGTGTGTGTGTGTGTGTGTGTGTGTGTGTGTGTGTGTGTGTGTGTGTGTGTGTGTGTGTGTGTGTGTGTGTGTGTGTGTGTGTGTGTGCGTGTGTGTGTGTGTGTGTGTGCGCGCGCGTGTGTGTGTGTGTGTGTGTGTGTGTGTGTGTGTGTGTGTGTGTGTGTGTGTGTGTGTGTGTGTGTGTGTGTGTGAGTGTGTGTGTGTGTGTGTGTGTGTGTGAGTGAGTGGACACACACACACACACACAATGAGGCCAAAACCGTCAATAGTTTCAAAGCGTTATATGACAAAGAGTGCTGGGAAGACGGGACACCACGAGCGTAGCTCTCATCATATAACTACACTTAGGTAATTACACACTCAGGAGCACCTAAGGGTGCGCGTGCCAAGGAAAATTATTTACAGATATTACATGAATGAAGTGGAGTGTGTACATGACTATGACGACACACCTCTGAGAACCCCAGCACTAACAGCTTGACTGTCAGATGGTGTTGAGCAGAGCTCCTTCCCTTCCTCTAGGTCCATCACCACCCTTTCCACTCCCAGCATTTTCAAGTGGAAGGGGGGAGAAGGGGGGTTCCCATACCGGTGCTGCAGACTTAAGAATGGGTCTCACATCGGTTATATAGAGGGGGCTCCTTTGTTCAAAGTCCGATCTGGTGTACCTAGCACTCTCACCCTCATAGTACTCTCACTCTCAACAGTACTCTCACTTTCAGTGTACCCGAGACACTGACTCACCACCTCCCTCCCTCCCGTACTAACACTTGTGGTTTCATTCACTGGTCGATGACCCCCCCCCTCTCTCTCTCTCTCTCTCAGCTCTCACTCCCTCCACCACCTCTCACTCTCTCCCCTCCCCCACCTCATTCTCTCCCCAACTCCTCACTCCCTCCCCCCCCTACCGCTGAACACGAGTGAACAGT